GTTCTTTCTATAAACTTTTCTAATTGTTGACGTGAATATTTTTTAATCAAATGGTTCTATGATATACGCCTGGAAATTGTGTTTAAATATTCAATTAGTTTTTAATTAATATGAGGCATTTGTTGGTATTTCTGTAATTCGCCCAATAGAGTTAAACCTATATTAAATGTGCCAAAATATTTTTTTATTCGAGTTTTATTAGGCAAAAGTTGTCGGGTACGGAGGAGGCAGAATTAAAACAAATTCTTTGCATAAGTTTGCAAAAATACGGACTGAAAACATTTTGGCAACAAACATTGAAGGATACCATGTACTCAAATTTGGAAAAACATCGACGGCACCAGTGGCAAATTTAGGAGGCTTATTGTGAGCATTTTTAATAAGTCGGAAAAAAGACCACAAATTGTTTCATGCGATTTTGCATGTATTTTTTGCGTACATTGATAAGCCATAATAAACGTGATCTATAATTATTATTTAACACAGTAGTCGGCAATTTTAACAATCATGTTCGTTATAACGCTAGTAAGTAGATATTTGGTTGTGTTAATTACATATATAACTAAAAAAATTGGTATATTACAAAAATGTTTCAGAAATGAATGATTGTGGACCGCAATTAAAGAAGTATGAAAAAATAAAAGTTTTTGAATAAATTTAGTTGAAAAAAGAACCAGTCAGCAAGCACCAGCTCCCTCGAGTCTGACACTAGGTCGGACAGGAACGATCCTCGTTAAACGAACATCTGAGATCTCATTGAGGGATCAAGCAGACGTGCATTTAAGTCTCACGCTCAGGAGCAGTTGCTACGACTCGTCATCCTGGTTTTAGTGTTATAGTCAGTTTTGACTGACGTCCAGGCGATGCATACTATAGAAATGATCCCTAAAAGTATGATCTTAAAAACCTTCTAAACTTGTGAACCTATTATACCAGTGTGGTTAATTAGTTAGGGGTGTTTTTACAGTCTAAAAAATAAATAACTGTTACAGATTAATATACGATTTTACTTTTTTTGAAAGGTTTTGTACAAAACGACATAAAATTAGAAAATAGTTTTATATATAATTTCGAATAAAAAGATGATTTTTTTAAAAATTTCCTTCCACTAGCGAATTAAAACGAAAAATTTAGTGATGTGGTGATGCAACAAACAGTTCTAATTTTGATCCAATTAGATTTCTCTCATCATGAAAATTGATGGTCATGCGATTAGTTCAAAAACTTTTTCTGTCGTTACGACATGTTGCTTAGGAATACTTCATCAAATGTACATTGTATAGAGACGTCGAAAATTAGAATATAGCATACAATGAATTCAATTGATTTATAGCAAATGTTGGGATTGAAAATATTTTTTAAATTGAGTTTAAGAAGGTTGGATGATAATAATGCGGTAGATTGAGTAATATTCCGTGAGAAATATGCCTTAGGTACATAGTCATCAACTTCTATGAATGTGAATAATATGAATGATACCTTTGTCTTTCAAAAAATGTTATATATAATGTTATATAACCGACCCTTTGGTCTTGTATGGTTTTGTTATTTCTCTCTACGTGGATTCTTGAATCCTGAATAGACTTGTTTTTTATCAACTTTGTCAGAAAGAAAAGAGTGCTGGCAATCACTTGTAAATATTGCTGTAATTAATCAGTCGTTTATTCAATTGAGAAAATCGTTAGAATACAGCACAATAACTAATCAACCGGTAAATCACAGAATAAGACCAATCATCAATA